CGACACTGAGGGTTGCGATCCATTGCCGGTCACGAAAAAAGACAAAAAAAAAAAAAGAAAAGAAAAATAATTTACTGTTTTACGGTTGAAGAAATATATACAGAATACATGATTCTTTAAAATTTTTTTCAGCAGAGGGGCCGGCCCGGTGGCACACTGCTACAGTGCGCCGCTTGGGAAGCGCGGCGGCACTCCCACCGAGGGTTCGGATCCCACATGCAGACCGGCCGCTCACTGGCTGAGCGAGGGGCGGGAGCAACGCCGAGGGTTGCGATCCCGTTGCCGGTCCCGGTCCGGTACAGGCGCGACACTAAGGGTTGTGATCCGTTGCCGGTCACGAAAAAAGACAAAAAGGAAAAAAAAAATTTTTTGTTCAGCAGAGAGATTTTTGCTGTAGACGTCCTAATAGAGTCAAATTTTTAAAAAAATTCATCAATTTATGACTGATTAGTTGAAGTGGAGGGTTGCTGTTTCTCTACAAGAATTTACTTTTATTAACTTAGTTAATAAAAACAAAAATGTAACAACCAAATCATTGCTCAGATTTCTGTTTTAATTGTTGGAAACTTTAAAACTTAAGTTGCAACTTTTGAAGGACTAGTGTGTACCTACCATAATAAAGCCATTGTCTAGGATAGAGTTATGTTTACTTTATATTACCTTTATAGCAAATGAAAATAATGCCTTAGTTTTTTAAAAGAAAATTTAGATTGCACTGAATATTTCTGTCTGGTGATTTATCAGATGTACTCTTCCCAATAAGTTTGAGATCTTGGTGACTTATAGTGAGCAAAAATATCATGTCACAACTTTAATACCTTCTTTCCTCACAATTTTGACTTCAGATTCCTAGAAGCTCTCAATCACTTTGAGAAAGCAAAAACCTTGATTTATCGTCTTCCTGGAGTGTTAACTTGGCCCACAAGTAATGTGATTATTGAAGAGTCTCAGCCAGAGAAAATAAAGGTAATAGTTTATTTCTGCAGAGTGTTTGCTATTAACTATAAAAGCCCATCTGCACTGACTGAAGTAAAACAAGACAAAGAGGTAGGAGCACTATATCCCCACCTTTCCCACAGCGTTCCTCCTTTAAAGTTTAATGAGAATCACTGACATTTATTGAATGTTTCCTACGTGCCAGTCACACACCTTCCGTTTATCATTACATTTAATCCTTTCAGCAGCCCAATGAGATGGGTACTATGAGCATTTCCATTTTACAGCTGAGGAAGATTAGGTTTACAGAGGTTAAGAGATGAGCTCAAGGTTAAGCATCAAAGAAATGGTGGAGCCAGTACTTGAGTCTAGGCATTCTGACTTCATTGCACGTGTTATTAAGCAATGTGCTATGCTGGTTCTGCTTAGAGGAAGGTATAGCATCGTTGTTTCGTCATAGTTACTGTAGTTACTGAGATAATACCTGAAAATTCAGAAGATATAAATTTAGTTTCATTGCCAGAAGCATAAGGATGCTTTGCTAGTTCTGGAAAGACTAAATTATATGTGAATTGACTGAGATAGGCCTTTACTTGTGGTGAACCCTTGTGCATACTCAGAACTTGCTTTTGGCTCAAGCTTTGGGGAGGGGAAGTGGTGGACTAATGGGTACAAAACTATGCCATCCACCCTAAGTTAATCATTGTGCAGTATATGCATGTATTGAAACAACACACTGTACCCCACAAAGATAAATGTAAATAAAAATAAATATATAAAACCACAGGGTTCAACTTTTACAACTCAGTAATAAAATGACAAATAATCTAATTAAAAACTAGGCAGAGAATCTCAATAGACATTTCTGCAAATAAGATATACAGATAGCCAATTAGCACATGAAAAGATGTTCAGCATCTTTAACCATCAGAGAAATGCAAATCAGAATCACAGTGAGGTATCACTTCACACCCACTTGGATGTGGATAGACTATAAGTATTAGCAAGGATGTGGGAAAATTGGAACATTCATAGATTGCTGGTAGTAATGTAAAATGGTGCAGCTGTTTTGGAAAACAGCCTGGCAGTTCCCCCCTGAAGTTAAATATAGAGTTACCATATGACCCAGTAATTCCGCTCCTAAGTATGTAGAGAGACAGGAAAACACGTTCTCACAAAAACTTGTACATGAATGTTTATAGCAGCATTATTCATAATAGCTGAAAATGGGAAAGAGCCCAAGTATCCATCAAATGATGGATAAATAAATTAACAAAAAGTACTGGTGCATTCTACAACCTGGATAAACCTTGAAAAACATTATGATTCCAGTTATATGAAATCTCCAGACAAGTCTATATAGAGAGACAAAATAGATTAGTGATAATCTGGGGCTGGGAGGTTGGAGGAAAATAGGGAGAGACTGCTAATGGGTATAGCGTTTCTTGTTGGGTGATGAAAATGTTCTAAAATTAGATTGTGGTGACAGTTATACAATCCTTTGAATATATTAAAAACCACTGATCTGTATGCTTTGTGTGAATTGTATGATATGTCAATTATACCTCAACAAAGCTGTTTCAAAAAAATAAAACACAAAACACAGGAATTGTTGGATTTTCCTTTCTTCATACAAGATTGGGATGGAGACATAGGAGCTATTGATAGCAAAAAGCCAGCAATGGAAGCATGGCATGAGTCTTTTGAGAGCTTCGGTAGCAATGGAATAACTCCCTAGGGAATTGACACACACCAGTGGCAAAGATGCAAGAGATAGATGAATGGGATCCTAGGTGAAGTTTTGTTGGGAAAGAGGAGAGAAAAGTCCTCAGGGTTATCCTAAGGGTTATTCTATCTTATTTGACTCTTTCTTAGTGCATAAAAGAGATTTCTAAGAGCTGTAAATTATAAAATGAAGTTTGATGATTATAACAGAGGACAAGATTTTGATTCTGACTCTGAAATTCTGATAAAAATTTTTTGTTCATTCCTCTTTTTTGCATCTCTATGTGCCTCTGTATCAGCTTCCTTTTAAAAGTAAAAACTAAAAGTTGTGTGTAGTTCTTGGCTAAAAAAATTCAGTCATTCCTATGCTGAAAATATTTTGATGGCAAGAAGTTATTGAAATCACAAACATTTTTATTGACAAATTAGTGTTGTAATGGTATTTTTTTGTTTATTTTGTTTTAGATGCTATTAGAGAAATTTGTTGAAGAATGCAGGTTCCCTCCAGTGCCAGATGCCATTTGTTGCTATCAGAAGTGCCGTGGATATTCCAAAATCCAGATATATATAACCGATCCAGACTTTAAGGTAAACAGTGAATGTACAGTAGGACATTAACTTGCAAAACTGTGCCTTAATATGGATTCATAACAAATTCTGTAATTGGAGGCAGTCAAATTCTCTGGCTTTCTAGCAGTTTTATGTTCTCTTGTCCTCCCCTTCCCCTTGACTTCTATAGGTCTACATCATCTCCCCAGGGCCACTGAAATAAATACTGTGGGCTGGGGTGGTGACTGAGAAGGCAGGCTAGCTAATTCCATTTCCTCCTCCTAGCCACTGTTTCATGTAACTGCCTAGTCTTTAGAAGCATAGGAAACAAAATAAGATTGCTGCCTCTAATTTATTGCAATTCTAATCTCTTGCAAAATTTGAGTCCAAGAATCTCAAGTCTATTGTGATCACTGAATTAGCCTTTAGAGACCTAAATTTTAAACTAAGTCTGTCATTTAATTGAGTGAATAAGTTACTGGTGTATTCAAGAAGATAATAGCTATCCACTGTTCCACTATCCCTGGTTAGTAGATCAGATGAACTAATGTTTATAAGATATTTGATACATTATAAAGGATATTACAGTTGTATGCTGTGGAAATGAATATGTCAGTCAAGTTCTGTATCTCCTATCTACCTATCTGCACTAGGCACTTTGGGGTACATAAGTATTGTACTCCCCAACAAGGAGATAGAATGTTTGGTGATGTCTGCCAGGTGAATGCAACAACTGTCTATCTTAATATGTATGTTATGGGTGTGTGTGTGTGTGCATAGACACTTTAAAATATCAATTAAAAATTTTTTGAAATCCCAGGGTTTTATACGAATCAGCTGTTGCCAATACTGTAAAGTAGAATTTCATATTAACTGCTGGAAGAAGTTAAAAACAACAACCTTTAATGATAAAATTGACAAGGTAAGGCATAATATGATTGTCTGGGTTTTTTTAGTATGCTTATTGTACATTGATTTTTCCCCCTACAAATATTCAGAAGAAGTCTTAAGTGAATATAAATTCCTTTTTGAGCATTCTAAAGTAGAAAATCAGTTTTTGTTTATAGTTTATACAACTATAAAGGTAGTAAGCATAGAGGCCTTAACCAACTTTTGTATTGGGAATGCTATGAACAAAAATAAAAATTTAAATGTCTGATTTTAAAATACAGTTCTTAAATTATGCACTGATAATAATTTTAGTCCTTCAGGGATCTTTCATTTAATCACTTGAAAGTTTTGATATAGAATTGAGGTCTCAAAATTTTTGTTTTCTGCCAAAATTTGGTAGGTAATTTGTACTAAGAAACCAACTTAAATTTTATACTGTCATTTCTCACTAGGGTTTTTCTTATTATCAAGATAATGATGTAATTACCATTAGCTAGGTAAGCTTTGAGAGAAGGCACAATTTTGCAATCATATTTGCATTCGTAGAATTTGTTTCTGATCTTTTTAAACTACATACTTTAAAAAGAAAACCTTTTTCTACATGCAGGGCTCATGCAGACAACCATTCTTATTGGGGGGAAAAAATAAGGTGTTTGGGCTAGGTGTCTATTAGAAATAGGAATTATTCAAATTTTGTAGAAATAAATTCTCACATTTTGTACATTTTCATAGTTAACTAAAGATATAATGATATGGCCAAATAACTGTTGGAATTGAGTCACTTCTACTATGTCTTTGTCCTACCTAAACTGAGTTTCTCTAGCAATACACTCTCCCTTAATGGTCTTAACCATTCCCATAGTTTTAAATACCCTCTCTAAATTAGTCAGCTTTCATTGGAATATGCTACAGTAATATACAACCCAAATATCTTGTGGCTTACAATAAGAAGGTTCATTTCTTGCTTTCATTAATTGTGCTGCAGTTCTATATTTGTTGGCCAGGGTTGGGCTGTAGCAGCTCTCGTCTATGTGGCTGTGTTCTTTGTTTCTGAATCCAAGATGAAGAGTGGCCCTTTTCTAGAACAAGTTCCTGTGTCAGAGGGAAAAGAGTAGTGCAGTGTTCCTAAACCTTTTGTTTAGATGTGGTGTACGTCATGTCAGCTCACCTTGCATTGACCAAAGGAAGTCACATGGTCAACCCAATGCCTGGAAATATATTCTTCCTACAGGGATGCTCTGAAAATCACATGGCAATGAGCAGGGACTTTCAGTGTTTCCCCAAAAAAGGTTTTAGACCATATTTTGACTCTTCCTGATGGTAAAATGGTATACATATATAGGTTTGCCACTCTCCCCCCAGACATAACCTTCTTTTTTTACTTAAATAGGATTTTCTACAAGGAATTTGTCTAACCCCTGATTGTGAAGGTATCATTTCTAAGATTATCATCTTTAGCAGTGGTGGTCAAGTAAAATGTGAAGTAAGTATCTAATAAAGGGAAAACTATTAAATTGATAACCAAAATGTTTATACCTTTCAAAACATGTTTACCTTTGTGGAACTTGTATGATTTGGGTCTTGTCTTTTCCAGTTACTTCATTTAAGAAAATATGGAAAATATTCATTAAAATGAAGGTTCTCTTATTCTCTTGTTTCCTAATAGGAAAAGGAAGCCTTTTACATTTTAGTTTTACTGTTTTTACTTTTTGATAACTTTGTTTTCTTAATCCCCAGTAAACTTTGGGCATTAGATGGGGAGGAGTGCCTTAAGGGATTACCTTTAACTTTACTGCATGGGAGTAGCAGGATGGGTGGTTCTAATAATATTTGTAGCTTATTGGGTCTTCTGCTTACTCTTAATTTTTTAAACTTCTTCCTAAAATATGTCTACTCTTTTATTCCACTTTTCTGTAAATTATTTTGCTAAAGCTTTCTGGGCTTTTGTCTGGGTCAGAACATCATCACTGTTCTCTATCAAATTGAACATTGATTCTTTGTGCTTCTGAAATACTTGTTACTTATGGTTTTGTGCTTTTTGTCATGGGAATATGAGACAAATTTTGTATGTCTTTGTTTGATTTAAAGTTTGAACACAAGGTTATAAAAGAAAAGGCTCCTCCAAGACCTATTCTGAAACAGAAGTGTTCTAGGTAAGATTTTTAACAGTCAATCAGTACTTTAATGATGTCTCTTAGAATATAATTCTATTAAAGACAGATTTCTAAATTATGCTTTTTAAAATTGCCTGTGTACACATATATCCAAATGAGTGTTTTTAAAATGATTTTTATGGATATTTAAAACTTAAAGAGAATTAGCTTAGAATGGTATTTAAGAACTTGAATCAGAATCCTTATTTAGTGGTTTAATTTATAAGTAAAATTATGACATTTGATGCTGTGAAATTATGTGTTTCATCAACATTTGGCACTTAAATAAAAATTATATATTTTGCTCTTAGTTGTTTAAACTTTAATTCCAAAAGCATTTTTTAATCTCTCTTCAACAAATGTTTTGAACCATTGACTATTTCTTATCCTGAAATACTCAGTGTACTGTCTCAATTATTTACTTCTCTGTATTTTTTTGTTCAGAGCAAATAATTTCAATTCTTTTTTCTTTTCTTTTTGGTTCTGCTTCTTGCTTTTCATTCTTTTTTTTTTTTTTTTTTTTTTTTTTTTTTTTTTTTTCGTGACCGGTAAGGGGATCGCAACCCTTGGTGTGATGTCGCCCACACCGTGCTCAGCCAGTGAGCGCACCGGCCATTCCTATATAGGATCCGAACACGCAGCGGGAGCGTCGCTGCGCTCCCAGCGCCACACTCTCCCAAGCGCGCCACAGGGCCAGCCCTCATTCTAAGGAATGATTCTTATTATTTGTAACCAAGAAAAGGCAAAAGAAAAGATAAACTGAATTATTTGTTGGAGAGAATTCATTGTAACCAGATTAACCACATTCCTGTGTTGAAAATAATATTTTACCATGGGGTCTTTCTTTGAAATGAGAGGTTACATGTATTATCTTGGCAGAGTAATTTGTACTATTCCTGTTTACCGTATGCAGTAATCTACAAGGAAACAAATCTATACAAGCTATACATTGCATCCTTAATTAGAAATTACTTAATCATTGAGGTTCTTGTTTTCATGAAGCAAAAAAACCTTATTTTGGCTGAATTGGACCATATATCTCAACAATTTTTTATATTGAACAGAAAATGTAGGCCAGATTCTAACTAAAAAGGAAAACTTCTAGCCTATATCTTGGAAAATGGTTTTTACAATAAGCAAAGGAAAGTAGTTCATTGAGCTTATAACAAAGGTGAATTATCATTAATCGTAAATATTTATCAGCCTAGAGAAGCTAAGACTAAAAGAAGACAAAAAGTTGAAGAGAAAGATCCAAAAAAAAGAAGCAAAAAAATTAGCACAAGAAAGAATGGAAGAGGACTTAAGAGAAAATAATCCACCCAAAAATGAAGAGCAGAAAGGTAGGCAGAAGTCCTAGGCATGATAATAATATACTCTTGCTTCAAAGCATAAATTATAAGTATTCATATCATTGGGCCTATTTTAATCATTACTGAATTGAAATATAGGTTTCTGTTAATATTTTAATACTATCACTGTCTTCTGTTACTCCAAGATGGGGAGTGGGCACTGATTTTAGAAGCAGTGCACGGGGATTCCAATGCTGGCCTGTCACTAACTGGGCAAACTCCGTGTCAGTTTCCTCATCTCCAAAGGGGAGGTGGACATATTATCTGATCTGTGTGTTGTATGTTTCACAGTGCACTGTAAATTCTTCTGTGTGGACTTAAGTGCCAAAATGTTGAACTGTAAATTGGGTACTAAATACCTGAAATAATGCTGAGTTCAAATGGAGACAGTTTATAAAAAGTGCCATAGAGATTACTTTCTATTTTGCACCCATTTTGTCTTCATTCCCTAACTAAATGGGAATGTCTCATTGGTAATTCTACTGCTCCTGTGTCATATTGGCCAGTATGTTTATTTTTAGTTTGAGTTGAAGTACGTTTTCCTGATTTTCTACTATTATGGATGGCTGTGTTTCCAAAATGAAATATTTTCTACCTGCTCTCTTTATTTTTCATCTAGTATTTCATCAGTATTTCACAAATCATTCAAAATTGTCTTTCCCACTGAAAAAATTTCAGTGAATGTATTACCTTTGCATGCTTAAGGTCTAAACATATATATTGAACATAAAATTAAGGTAGTTTATGAGGCTGGGTTAGGATTGTTAAGACAAGTTACCTTATTTCAGAAGGACTAAGTTTTTAGATGTTGTAATACTAATAATGCAGAATGAAGGGTATGTTTGGTTTAATGTGAACTTTCATATCTTTTCAAAGATATTGTTAAATATTTATATTTCTCATATTAGTTTTCTTGAGTTGTTTATGTAAAATGGCATATAAAATCAGAGTTATATTTTATATTATCATTAATATTACATTATTTCTTTCTAAGTTTATATCATTGGGAACTATTCCTATGTATCACTTTTACCGTTGCTATTTATCCTTAGAAACTGTAGACAATGTTCAGAGTTGCCAGTTCCTTGATGACAGAATTCTACAGTGCATAAAGCAGTATGCTGACAAGATTAAATCTGGTATACTGAATACTTCCAAGCTTCTCAAAGAATTGCTTTCTTGGAAAGTTTTGAGCACAGAAGACTATACAACCTGTTTTTCTAGCAGAAATTTTCTAAATGAAGCAGTGGACTATGTCATTCGTCACTTGATTCAAGAAAAAAGTAGAGTAAAGACAAGGATATTTCTGCATGTTTTGAGTGAGCTTAAAGAAGTGGAGCCCAAATTAGCCACCTGGATCCAGAAACTTAACAGCTTTGGTATGTCATTTTATACTCTAAAGTGATGTAGTTCAGTAGGGAGGGTAAATGTAGGCCTCTGAATTCTTTTTTTTTTTTTTTCCTATCATATCATTATGACTTTTTAAAGGCAGGACTATGGATTTATATGGTTAAAAATACTGTCCTCCCTCTGCCCCTCTTCAGTTTTAGGTTATTTTATAGTTTTATAGATAGGTTATAATATACTTTTTCAAAAGGTATAGATAAAAGAAAGGTCAGTCAGTAAGGAAATCCAGACCTATGTTATGCTAAACTATTTGTAAATGTGTAAAGTATGTGAATACTAGGCACAACCATGTGTAAATAGCACATGGAGTCTGCTGTGTGTGGAGTGCCCTCTGGGATTGTGCAGCTCAGTAGCTGTGTGGAAAAAGAAAAAGGATCTAAAATTCAGATTCTTTGAAGAAAAATTTAGAAGGAAGAGTAGATGAGACTAATTGCTTAGGGTCACCTAAAGCAAACCTAAATCTAAGGATTAAGAGAAATGTATCCTGGGTTTGAACTAGGCTAATTGTGAATCTCAGAATTATACAACTCTGTTACTCTGTTCTGACTTGCCTAATTTGGCTGGGAGAAGGGAAGGTTGAAGAAGACTCCACAAGCAAGCTCTTTGCCCAAGGCCATGGAGTGATTGCAGAGGGCAGTCGCAGATACAGTTGTTGTCTAACACTAGGTAGGGATGCACTGGGCACTTACCAGAGCACTGTTTATCTTGGTGACCAGGACACCAACTGACCTAGCACAACAGTTGATTCCATTGGCAGCTGTTAGTTAAAAGGCTAAAGGGAGCTGCAGAAAAGAGAGCAGGGCCTTCCAGGAGCAGTCCAGAGTCTGCCAGCTACCCCCACCTGCCCAAGTTTTTAGAGACATGGGGTTATTATAATTCTAGGGTTTCAGACAAGATAGTCATCAGTTTCTGTCAGTAGAAACAAAGTAAGATGGCAGCAAGCTTGGCATAGTTAGCTGAGTGCTGCTGCTTTAAGCATAGGTCTCTGTGGGTTTCTGTTCCCAGAAAATCACTCTTAAGTGATAACATTGTCACTAGTGTCTGTCAGATAAATATAAAGTCATTGCCTACTCTGCTTTAGAAGATAGACTCAAAACTGGAGAAGTAGGCTTGTCTGGGTTATGCTGCATGTGCAGGAGTGCCAGCTACTGTTCATTCAGGTGAACGCAGCTGTTGAGCCTTTTGGCTCACTGCCAAGAAAATGTGAATATGTCTTTTAATGTACTCCATGTTTATTCGGAAGATTAAATTTATCATTTTAAGAAGTATGTGTGCGTACTACTTAGAGTTGCTATTTCTATTTAAAGTTGTAAAATGAGTTCAAGCATGCTCATTAATAAGGCTGTTTCTATAGCCCTGATATAAAACTCACATTTATTTATTAAAAGCAAGGAATTTCCAATTCCTGGAATTTTACTTCCTTCTCACAGAAGTCTATATAGTGGAGTCACATTATGTGCATTTTTTAACATGAGAGGCCAACTTACATATTTAGCAAAAGATGGAGAGGAAGAGAGAGAAATAATAGAGCACAAGTGAGAGAAAATTAACATTTTAATAGTTAATATGATCTGCCTGCATTCCCCTCACTGAACACATGCACACCATGACGTGAGCCTTGGATGGGGAATGTGAATGTGGTATTGGGATTCTCTTCAACCTTTTATTGTATGAGTATTTTATGTGGTGGCTGATTCTGGTGTTTAAAGATGCTAATTTCTCACACAACATGATCTCTGCAAACTATTTTATTTGGAGGAAATAAACAGCCCAGAGTAATTTTCACTCTGAGCAGTCTTTGCTTCATTTACTGACTTGGGAACCTAAGGCCCATGCATGGGGGGACTGTGCTGTACTAGAGGCATGATGGGGAAATGGAGGAGGGCTCTGTTTTGCTTTTTGGTGGCTGTGTTAGTAAGGAGTGGGACTTCAGCATACTTTCAGTAGGAACATATGAAATTGCAGCTACCCTGTTTTCTGGTTTGGAAAATGGAGAATAAAAGTGAGACTAGTTACCACCTTGATTTTTGTAGAGGGGGCTAAGGATGCTAACTGCTATTTTGGGGGGTAAGGAGCATTTCTTAGAGGTGTTGGGGGAGGAATTTACCCATTTCCTTTTTTAAAGGCACTTGGGAAGATTTTGCGTGTTATTGATGTTTTGTTACTGTGGAATACATGTAGAAAACATTGTAAAATCTCACTAGTTTGTACTAATTATAATGAACGTCATTATGAATTAGTGAAAAAATTATTGTTATATTTTTAAAGGAAGCCTTTGGCCACTTTATTCAACCAATAGATAATAAGAATTATTATGATTAGCACATTGGTGTTAAATGTTGTTTCTAAAATGCATAGTAGCTTTGTTCTCCAGTATTTAAATAGTCTCACTGAAAATATAAGCAAACTATAATGGAACCACTTTCAAAGATGTGAAAATGAATGTGATTTTATAATAAATAATTTTTCCCCTCTTCTGATTTGTGTTTTGTTGTTATTATAGGCTTAGATGCCACAGGATCTTTTTTTTCTCGTTATGGAGCATCTCTTAAGGAACTTGATTTCAGCATCATGACTTTTCTTTGGAATGAGAAATATGGTCATAAACTAGACTCTATAGAAGGAAAGCCACTTGATTATTTCTATGAACCAGCATCCTTGAAGGAAGCACGTTGTTTAATATGGCTGCTAGAAGAACACAGAGACAAGTTCCCAGCATTGCATAGTGCTTTAGATGAATTCTTTGATATAATGGGTATGTGGACTAAGTTTAGATTTATATTATACCTTAGGAAAATGTAATAAAATAAAATCTTAGGAAAAAATTTGTGAAGGATCTAATTTATTTAAATTCTTAAGAAAATAGTGAAAATTATTATAGTACAACTGGTTTATTTGGGGAAATTAGTGATTAACAGTAATGATTTTTTGATATTGTGAAACTTTTTTACTTTATCAAGCTAAGTATTATTCAGATGGGTATGTTCTGCTAACTAAATGCCATGTAATTTCCATCTTAGATATATTGTATATTAAATGGAAGGAATTTATTAGCAAGTGGTTTGATTTGTAGCATTCAGGAAACCTTCAGCCTGCAGAAGTAGGTGATGTTTGGGCCGGCCAGGTGGCGCACTGCTACAATGCGCCGCTTGGGAGCGCAGCGGCGTTCCCGCCGAGGGTTCGGATCCCACATACAGACCGGTTCCCGCTCACTGGCTGAGCGAGGTGCGGGCGCGACACTGAGGGTTGCGATCTGTTGCCGGTCACGAAAAAAGACAAAAAGGAAAAAAAAAAAAAAGAAGAAGTAGGTGATGTTTGCGGAGTCTAGAACAGATACCACATTTGTTTTAATGGTAAGAGCCTAAAACAGGGAGTCAGGAAAAGTAGGCTCAGCTTCTTCCCTAATTCAGTTCATTAAAAACTTTGTGTGTTGGGCCGAGCCCGTGGCACACTCGGGAGAGTGCAGCACTGGGAGCGCAGCAGTGCTCCCGCCGCAGGTTCGGATCCTATATAGGGATGGCCAGTGCGCTCCGGTGCGCTCACTGGCTGAGCGTGATGTGGCCGGTCACAAAAAGGACAAAAAAAAAAAAACAACTTTGTGTGTTGTCCTATTGTTTCAAGGGCTTAGTGCTAAGGTGTTAAAAAGGAATTGAGAAATGTTTACACTAGTCCCTGCCCACAAGGACCTTATGATCTAGAAAAGGGAATAAGAAGAATGCACTAATAACTGTAATATGATAGTAACCTCAATAAGGGAAGACCAAAGAAAGTGCCAGGGGCTTCAAAGGAAAGACTCACACTTTTCCCTGTGAGAGAGGAAAGCTGAGGTGTGGAGGCAGAGTTCCAGATGGGCTGTGAACATGGAGGTGAAATTGGACAGGTGGGTGTTGGGGCTTAGAGACATAGGATGGAGGGGAACTAGAGGACCTGTTTGGGTAATGGCATGGAGTCCAGTTTGGCACAGTCAGCTAACTAGAAGTTCCTTAGTTTCTCTTGGATCTTGGTTTCCTTATCTTTAAAATGAGAGGAATTGCAGCCAGTGATTTGTGTGGTCCTATTTGGCTTCAAAATTCTAATATTCTTAGATTCTAAATCAATTTTGGATTTTTACATTTTGTGGTACACATACATCTTATGATAATCCACTCTCCCTATTTTCCTCAGCATCAGATGTCTATATATTGTCAGGAGTTAGACTTTTAAATTCCATGCTGTTTGTTTTAAAGGATACATTAAAGGATCTGGCCTTGTATAACAGTGTCAATCATTATAAAGTTCAAATGCAGCACAAGAAACTGAAAAACTTAATTTTGTTGTGGCTCAAATATCTATAGATGGCTTTATCTTTCTAGGATATCACTTCCTGACATGCCACTTGATAGACTGAATTTATTGCCATCAGTTCGCTGCTGCTGGTGATAAAATGCTATCCTGGGACTGAGCTTAGAAAACCCAATACATGCTGGGATCACACAACAAGACAACTAAAAAGGGCACAGTTCCCTCTTAGTGTGCACTCTTCCTGATTCCTGTGTCCTATTCCTGAAACACACAATGTATGCACTGCGACTCTTCCTCTGCTTTTTATCTTGGAATCAGAAGCCATCAACCCAATTACTGGCCATCCCAACTATTTTCAAGTCCAGTAGCTCTGCCTCTCAACCTCACCCCAGACATTTTCAGTTTTATCTCTTTTCATTTAAAGAAAGGATTATACTTCTTAAAATTTTGAAGCCCACTGATCTTGTAAATCAGAGTATTCAATAACATCACCAATGCTATGACAAATGGGAGTCCCAGCCTCTCTCCTGTACTTTGGAGACATATTTCCCTAGGGAATTTCTGTGTAGATAGCCATGGGGTCCCTTAAAAGCAGAATGAGTGAACTCACTTACCACATTCCCAGAGACCTGTTTTTCCTAAATTTATCTCCATTAATAACGTTGTTTGTCTAGTTTTTAAGCAAGAAACCCAGGAATTAGTCTTGACTCTTTCTTTTCCCTATTACTGTTTTAACTAGTTTGTCATCAGTTCAAATAAACTTTATCTTTTATCTGTCCTTTCCTGTCTATCCTACTTCCCTAGGCCAGGACCTTAGTTATCTTTCCATGATTAGACTATTATAGTAGCCTCCAAACTGGTCTCCATGCCTCTAGACTTTCCCACTGCTAATCTTCCTTTCATATTGCCACTAGAGACTTTTCTAGAACATCTGTCTGATTCTGTAACTATTCTGTTTGGGAAACATTTGTTTTGCCTCCATATTACATTCACATCATCTGTTTGGATTTGTCATCACTCTCCCTGTGTGTCTCTCTGCACCCACCCCTCTTCTTACTGTGCCCAAACTTGCCTTGTACTTTCCTGCCTCCTACCTTTGCTCATGCAGTTCCTCCAGCCATGTTCCTTTGCTTATTTTATTTCAAGTCTAACTTAAATGTCCCTTCCTCCCCAGAGCTCTTCCTGACCCCTCCTTAGGCCTCTCAAAGAATTTATTGCTCCATCAGCTTTGTTACCATTGTATTTCATTGTGGCACTTAGCACACTGGGTTACAGGTGTTTGCCTGTTTGTCTTCTTGGCAGTAGAACATGAGCTCATTGATGGCACGCACTGTCTTATGCATCTCTGTTCCTCAGCGCCTAGCATAGATGGCACCTAGAAGGCATTCACGTTATACTGAATTGGATTGAAATTTTGTGGTTCCTTGTAGTTGGTTTCCCGTTTAGTCAGTCACTTTGCTCTTGGTTTTTAAACTAAACTTGTGTCAAAGCCAAATAAAGAATAGAATGTAGTTTATGCTAGTAGTAAAGGGGGTAATTTTAAGGCTTTAGTGTATTGTATGGAAATGTGAATGTTTAGTTTTCTAGAACCATCTGTTATCTTCCTACAGACAGCCGCTGTACTGTATTAAGGAAACAAGACAGTGGTGAAGCACCGGTAAGTTACTTGATGACTTTAAATCTTATGTTCTAATTCATGTTAGCCAAAGGTCAAGAGGAGGACCCAGGCCAGTGTCTATTTACATCACGGCTGGCATTCCAGAACCAAATTGGGAGGACTTCTGGGTAATGCTAATATTCCTCTTGGAATTGGAGCAATAATCAGCAAACTCTGAGGCTTAAATTAGATAATTCTTATAAAGTTTGATAGCTAATAAATGTTAATATTAGATATAGGAAAGGAAGAGTTCTTGAGCCATCTCCTGACATAAAGATGAAAAGTTATCTTTAGTGATTAAAATTTTAATGTTTTGCTTTTCTGGAAGGAAAACAAAGGGGCTTTGTTTTGAGTGGCTCTAAATTGATTTTAAGTTAAAACAGTTCCAGAGTTGTCTTCCTTAGAAGGTTGTAGTTGCTTGTATTCTTCCTTGCAGTTCAGAAATTCTTCAGTTTAGGGAGGTGATTAAATAGAAGAACAGCATTATGGCAGTTTTTAAAGAGAAAGGTGCTTGTTTAATGATTTTTTTCAGAATCAGATTGGCAGTTCAGAAATTCTTCAGTTTAGGGAGGTGATTAAATAGAAGAAGAGCATTATGGCAGTTTTTAAAGAGAAAGGTGCTTGTTTAATGATTTTTTTCAGAATCAGATCATCTATCTATACATGAAATTTTATCTTAATCTGCTCTATCAAATATTGCCCAGCATAGTATGGAAACACAGCTAACATACCCCATAGGGAGTTGAATGCTTCATTTAGTATTTGTGCCCCAGCATGTGGTCAGATGCAAAATGTTTAGTTCAGCTTAGTAAAAGGAGTGTAATAAAATTGTTATTATAGCATATAACCAGAATTACTTGAAAGTATGATTAATTAATTGAAATAATATAAATCCTGTTGAAAATGATTTTAAAATGTTGGAACAACTTAATTTTAGTTATAACATCAGGCATTATTAAACTTTTTCTTATTTTCTATCATAAATCATAGCACTTGGGCTGATAAACTATAGTGTTAATTTTGTTAAACATTTTATATATATTTAATTTATGACTAGTCTTTGAAATTAGTATGGTTTCTTTATGCTGAGCTTCATAGTGCTGCTATTTGAGTGTTCATTGACTTTTCTTTCTTCCATTTTTTAGTGTAGTTCTACCAAGGTGAAAAACAAAGGCAAGAAAAAGAAGCCAAAAGATTCAAAAGTATGGAGTATTTTCTATATTAATTCTTTTCTAAGTTCTCTAATATAATTAATTGGATATGCAAATTAGAATTTAAGCAGTTTTGGGGATATTTTGAAACATGTTGTAGAGAAAGACTTTCTAGGCTTTAAAGATATTTTGGCAGTCTTCTACATTTTGAGGAAATTTAATATTCACGTTATATGAAGGTACTTGAAAAAGTTCATGAAAAAGTAGAATTGTAAGATGATAAGAATATTTCCATGAACTTTTTTTTTTTTTTTTTGTCTTTTTTCGTGTCCGGCAACGGATCGCAACCCTCAGTGTCGCGCCCGTACCGGACCGAGACCGGCAACGGGATCGCAACCCTCGGTGCCGCGCCCGCACCTCGCTCAGCCAGTGAGCGGGAACCGGTCTGTATGTGGGATCTGAACCCTCGGCGGGAG